GTCCGACTCTCCGGGGGGGGGGGAGGGGGGCACTGCTGTAGCATGAAAGTGACCGCCAGGTGGCCGCCGGTGGTGTCGCCGTTGTCATGGAAGAACCCACACGATAAGGTAAAGGCGGAGAACGGGAGGGGGGGGGGGAGTAGAAGCCCCTACCACGGAGAGAAGGAAACGTGTTGCACGCGATGACGCGCAGCAGTCAAGCTCAGCCCACCACCGAGGAGACTGCGCCGCCGCACAGCGAGCGACATGCAAAGGAGGTGTGGAAGCTGTGGAGGTGTACTTGTAAGGAGGAGACAGCAGTAGCGCCTCGTTCTACCCTCGCGTTTGCTCTCTCTCCGTCCCCTCCGATTGGCCTTGCGTCGATGCCTCTCCCCCGGGAAATCATTCTGGTTGGCCAAGATACGTGTACATATATGTACGCCCCGACGCACGCTTGTCCCTGGTCGTCGTACACGAGCGAGGCGGGTCGATCTGGTCGGGCTGCGGCTGCGGTTCCGTCAAAGTGTGTCGGTTTTGTTTTGTGACGATCGAAGTGATTCGATTTTGCAGTTTGGTGCGTGTACATGCGGTCGCAGTTCGTGCCCGCCCGTTACAGAAGAAACTCAAGGGATACTGAAGTAAATAGGCCCGTACCTCTCGTTTTCATAGCGCACGGAACCTTGCACGGTAGGGGGTGGTCGTTGTCTCTTGGGTTGTTTCTTGGTTGTGGCCGTGTTGGCGTATGCGGGTCCGGCACGCATCTGTTCACTTTTTTTGCATCGCTTGTGCATCAGATGCAACCTGTTGCCTACCCTTTTTTTGTTTCTTCGCTTGTGGCGCTAGTATACCCCCCCCCTCCCCCTGTGTGAGGCAAGAGGCCTGTTCCTGATGGGGGATATTTCGTCCCTGACACCTGGCGTGTCGTTAGAGCTACGCACGCGGGAGGCAGGTTGTCTGGGACACGCGGCGTGTTGTTGTTGGCCAGGAGCATGGGAATCGGTCTTCTACGCTTGACGAGAGGACGAAAAGCTTCCTGCCTTGCTGGCCACCGAAATGGTGTTCACTTTTTGATAGTTGCGCCAAGAAGCGAGCAGGGGGGGGGGGGCGGAGCGAAGCGTTCCGCCGCCGCCCCCTCTACAATAGGAATATTTATTCGAATTTGTTTGTACCATCTAAGGACAGGGAGTTATTACGTAGGGGAAGAACTCGTAAGGAGCAGTCTTGAATTAGTAAACGCGCACTAAGCATGAGTACGCATGGAATAAGTGGGAACAGGTAGAAGAGCGCGCCTCTATGTTTTCTCTCAATTAATCTTAAAAGAAGGGTTATTAACCCATCGTATGCCGCGGGGGGGGAGGGAGTGGGCGTACTCGTGAATTGTAACTCTTTTTTTGTTTGTCGCGAGCACGTACATGAAGTGTTCACCCGGGGTTTAACTTGGGAAACAAAGGCATCAGCCGTCCGTTGTTATTGGGTATCGTTTTCTTAAATTTTCCAGCTCCTGTTCCTTCTCTTTCCGGTCGAAGGGTCTCTCTATTTTACGTATGAGTTAGTCAGGGATGTGTGGGGTTGTGTGCCCGTTACTTGTAGTCTATATGTTGCCGCGCCTCCGAACCTTCAACCTATACCCCCTCGATGCCTGTAAAGCGCTCGATGAGGGCGGGGGCGCGGCACGTGTGTATGTGTCATTTTAATCAACTTTTGTAGCAAAGTCACGACCGGGGCGATTGAGTGTGTGAGTGACGACACTGAAGATAACGTCACAGGAGCCCCCAAGTAGTGGTGTGTTCGCCAAGGCCGTACGTAGTAGCGTGTCGGCGTAGGCCTGCTATACGCCGCACCGGTATCCCTACGCAGCCGAACGAGGGTTGTGTCACCCTCCAGGCACGAGGTGCTGCGCCACCCAAGCGCAATCTTCCTCCTGCCCTGTGTGCACGGAGGGGCGCCCGCCGTGATGTGTGACGGGGGCGTTGTTGGTAGTTGGTTGGGACACGTCAGTCCAAAAAGGATGCTTGCGGTCGAAGTTAAAAGGCGGTAGGGTGGTGTGTTGTTGTTGGAGGGTTGGCTTGGTAGACCATGTACACTATGTACTTCATCTCTTTACTCCTAGGATTTGAGTTTTTTTTTCTTATTTAAGGACATGGACAACCATTAGTTGTGTCCGAAACAACCAATGAAGGAGTGGTGTTTTTGCGTGCTGTGTGCAGCGAGCAGCGCGTGCAAGCAGCGCGTGAAGTGTGTGTGGCACCGGCACCCAATACCAATGTCGCTGCGGCGCGTTGATTTGTCTTGCTATCATAACAACTGCTGTGTTCACGTGTTCTCCACAACCAGAACCAGAGGATTAAAGAGAGGCACCCTCCCTCTCTCAAGATGAGGATCGCCGATAAATTCAATCGTTGTCTTGCAGGCACGCGCAGCACTTGATGCAGCAATCAACCGCATACCTTGGTACGAACTAGATATATATTTTTTATCTTCACTTCAAATCAGCGCTCACGGCACTTGTTGTGCCGTTTGCTCCGACCCGTGGGTGGTCACAAAAAGGGTTTCCCCCTACCCACCCGTCCTGCGGTACTTTGCCTTCGATTTTGAATGAGAGAAGAGTGCAGCACTATCTTCCGTCTGTGTACAAAGGAACTAGCGCTTTCCACCCTGGCCAGGAACGGAAGCAAGAGAAAAACTCACTTTGCAAGATAACTCGCGTACGCCGGGTTTCGAACCTCTGACCGTGATCACTAGAAGGTATCCGAGGATACCAACTTTAAGGAAAATTGATCTTCTGCCCCGTTCCTCTGCGGTTGTTCGATCGGCCCAACCAACAGAATAATACATGGGCGGATGTCGTCGTCCATCCGCACTCGCGTAGCATATTCTTTTCGTCGTTCATGGGCCTCCTCCCACGCAAAGCTAGTCCTATTTTACGAAAATGGCGTGCATCTCCCCCCCCCCCCCCCCCCCGGAAACAAGAAATCTAACTGGGGGGGTTTCCCCCCAAAGGTTTTTTACCCCCCACCAGGGGCCCACCGAAAGACCCCT